TATATATATATATATATATATATATATATAGTGATGTTTCATTTTAATCATAGAGAACATGGATTTTGGCTTTTTTATATCCTAAAATTGGGGATTTTTTAAAATTAGACAAAGCCAGGATCCCTGCAGATCAGTTCAGATCACCACACACTTCCTAGAAAGAGTGCTGTAATCACCAGACTGTGCTAGGCAGAGTTGTGGATATCTTTCATGCGTTCTGTTGAAGTAGGGATACTAGGTATCAAGGAATGCAAGGGACATGGGGCCAGATGGAAGGCATACAAAACACTGCCTGCATTTCTGGCCAAGTGTGGTGGGCTCTCCTTTAGGAAACATGGAGCTGTGGTTTCTGCTTCCAATGCTGTTAAAGCATTTTTCATTAAATACTCACTATAAAAATTGTTCTGTGTGGTTTTTATTTGCTGTGTATTTAATTGAGTATTTGTTGGGGGTATGTGTAGTTCCTATTAAAAATGAAAATACTAGTGGGCTAAATGTTATTCCTCAAGACACTAATAAAGTCATTTTATGGACTACAAGAGTATTAAAGCAATTTAGGTTGTCTTAAAATTATTTTGATTAGTAAAAACTGAAGAAGTTGTGTTTTCCTGTTGTTAAAGAAAATGTTAAAGAATCCATTAGCTCCTGAGCTTAGATGTTTCACCTAACATTTCAGCCTCAAGCTCATTCATAAAATTAAGTTACATTTTTCTGGAAAGAAGAGTTAGCTGAGGAAAAGGTGAAAAACATAGCACTACTAACTATAAGGAAGAGCATAATGGGCCACGTTTTGCTAAATGACAGTCTCCAATGAATGGATGTGTAAATTGCATCAGCAGAATTTGAACATGTAGTATACAACTTCACTTCATCCAGGAGTGAAAATTTATGTATATGGCTATCTGACTGTAACAGCAAACCAGATAATTCAAAATCCCACGTGCTTTCTTGCCAACAGTAATTAGAGTGAGCCTGAAATACGAAACACAGAGATATAAATCTAAATATGGGGATACTACAAAACTGGAGAAAGCATCTGAGTCTTTGGTTGGCTCAAAGGTTGCAATTCATTCCTAGTTTTGGGGGATTATATCTGAAGGTTATGGCATGCAAACTGCGTCACAAAATGGAAGACCATATGCTTTTTAAAAATGTATCTCAGGTGTATTGAGTCAATTAAAAATATAGCTGAATCACATGGAATATTCCAACAAAACCAAAATATAATGAAAAATATAGTTCATATTATTAACAGTGTTAGCACTTAAATACTTCCATGGAAAGTAATATAAAGAATACTATTAAAATCAACAATTTCAAAAGCTTGTTTGACTCGGGAAGAAAGGCACGAATAACTGCATAAAATAGTTCTGAATATAGGATCTTATTAGTTCGGAACTCTTCTTTTAACTTTCTTTGGTATGGGGGCTGATGTCTTATGACTGCTACAGTAGTTGGCTGCACACATCGTTTATTTTCAAAAAGCAGCAATGCCTGTTGACTCTATACAAAGACAAACCTCAAGAAAAAGTAAAAAAAATGAAACAAATAGTTTTATTATATCCAAGTATACATCACATGTCCACAGTAATCTTTATAAAATGCTCAAGCCTTGGAATTTGAATGCAAATGAATGAAAACTATTGTCTGAAGCACAGGGCTTTAAAGGGACATGGCAAACTTAATAAAAGAACTTGTCTGCATGTTTTAATCTGTAAATTGTTTCATTATTTGTGAAGCTTATGTTGAAGAAATGTCGCACTTCTAATTGCACCAGAACTTAATCAGCAGTTGTTTATGTTGGACTTTGAGTTATAAATAATAAACCATGTACTGGTTTATATATTTATATGGCACAATAATTTCCACAATGAGACTGCATGATGGTCAGACGTGAACAGCAAAGCGAGGTGAACTCAGCATCGCAGAACATTATTGCAAGATGCTGACTTTTCACTAGAAAATGTGCATCAAAAATATTTCCTCAAGACAATGTACTTACATGCTCTCGTTAGGTGAAATACTGTCATTTAGATAGGAACCATTGCTGTTCTCCATTTCTGCTAGCCTGTGGAAAAATGGAAAGGCTCATTAAAATCTATAAGGGTCACTGGAGGTTTCTCTTGTTCTAACATTTCAGAAAACTTTTAAGATATATATTTTGGTGATACAGAGTAGTCAACATATTAGAGACCCTAAAGTTAGAAACCCAGATGAATATTTTACTTGCTGTTGGTTAACAAATGGGCTGCCAGAAATAATTGCTTATTTGTTACACTGAATCTATCTGAAGGCATTGTTAAGTTTTCAGCTCTTCTTTATATTCAAATCCTGTTAGTCAAAGTGATTCAGATATGAAAGAAAGGCCTTAAGATGCCATAAGCTTCCACAAATCATTCGGTACCTAGTAATGTCATCTCCAGACCTGAAATAACCTGTGCATTTCTTTCCATTTGAGAACACTTATTCTGTTCTGAATGCAATGTGCAATTTAGGTAAAGGTTTACTTGATTCAAGTGATTTTTTTCATTTGAATAACTATTTTGCACAATCCCCACCCCTGTAAATTCCAGTGCTTGGGGGGAAAAAGAAAACACTTGGCATTTAACTTACATCTGTCCATTTAATCCACTGCTTGTTGTTATCAAAAGACACTGGAACTTAAAAGTGGGTAAACAAAGTACAGAAGCGGTATACTATTGTTACTGTCCAAAACAGAGAAAGATGCTTTTTGTGGTATTTCTTAAACTGATTTTCTTGCTAAAGTCATCTGAAACCTGAATAGTGATGGACAGAAGTTTTAGAGGGCTTGCTGTTTTCCATCATATGATTATACCAGGATTTCTAATAAAATAAAACCCTATGTGAACTTAATGCACTAAATGCAGAATGCAAATGTTAGTTTCAAACCACGCACATGCTTTGGCTTTACCTAAATGTTAAGTGGATCATATTTACTTGTGGATCATCATACAATGGTTTGGCATGCAAGTTAGTTAGCAAGGTGGTTAGTAGCAGTCAGTTTTGTATTACTACCTACCCCAGGATCTAGGAAAAATACTAAGTTCAGTTATTAAAAACCCTTATAATGATGGCTTGTCTTTGGGTGTGTTCTAAATGACTTTTAAAGAAAGATTTGCCTAATGTCCAGCTGATCCCATACCTGCTAGCATAATGTTCAATGCGTGAATGAGTATCGTCATGTGAAAGCTGAGGGGACGAAGCAGGCCTATAAGGCAGAAAACACTGATTAATCACAAATAACATCCCTTGAAAAGATAAAAATACACTTAGGTATGTCTATACCCACATACTTCCATGCCTTATGCTTATGACGTGATCATCAAACAGCAACTTATACTTGCATAACCCCTGTGACTTGTGTGCTTCTTTGATCCACTGGCATGGAATGTGTTGGGACACCATAGAAAAGGGACTCTGTTCATTTGTAGTTTTTTTTGTGGTCTTGCTTTTTCATGATACATAGGCAGGAAAATAGAGTTACCTGGAGGAGTTTATTTCAATAAAGGATCTAAAGATGAGGTTTGCTGTCATCATTCCCCAGCCTCACTCGGTTACCACTGTATTTTGTATACTATTCAGGCCCAATTGTCAAACCCTGTTGAAAGTGTTCTGTCTTTTCCTTTCTGTTCCAATATTGGTTTCTAAACCACCAGTAGCATGTCCATTTCAAACTAGAGTTTTCAAGCACCCTCAGCCATGCCCAATCAGGTAGGAACCTTATTACGTATTAAATATTACTGGTTTAAATAAGAGATTGCAAGAATCAAAACTATAGTTTTGGTGATGGTCCTCCTTCCTACAGTTTAGGTACTGAACCAATGCACCAGCAATATATTTAGAACAGTGTTATGTTGGATCACCCACCTTTCAGCTATGACAGCCTGTGATCCCCTCCACCTTTGTGAAACTAAAAAAAATTGGACTTTTCACAAGAATAAAGTTGTTGCACCCTTATGGATTGCTTTAGATGTGAACTGGTATGACTCGGCCAATTAGAGGTGCAATTTTTTATTGCTAGAGACCAAGTGCAACCCCTAATATGGCCACAATGAATGTGCCTTATAGCAATACAGCTTATTATCCTTCATGTATGAAAAGAGCTATGCTGCCATAAAGCTGTCACTGGTGCTGCCCACGGTGTGTTCTGCCATGGAGTAGCTTCCTTTCATAAGTGAATGAAAGGAGTTGTATATTTACTAGTTATAACTCAAAAAGCGTTTTCTTGTGGTACATGATGCTGCTAAATTATGGTACAACAATCCTGCAGTTGATGATTATACTTTATTGGTCATCTTCTGCCTTTCAAATCAGTTTGCAATGTGCTCTAGAAAATTAAGATCTCTGGTGTTCAGGGAGCTATGTACTCTCTCTCTCTCTCTCTCTCTCTCTCTATTTGTATATATATATAAATCATCATCATTAAATGCTTTTTCTCAGACACCAGGAAGGCTTTTTCTCTGAGCCGTTACTGGCTAAGTATTATAAAACTCATTTCTGCTGAGATAAGCTTTCCCATATCTAAGTCCACATTTACCCATTGTGCTTTCAAATATCACCAGAGGCAAACTAATAGATATATGCAATCCACTGAATTCCTCAATACCATACAGAAACACAATAGACAAGCAATTAATTCTTCACAACCAGATATCCCAGATTGTGTGAGGCAACTTTGCAGTTGGAGGTAGCTCAAAGGAATGTAATTGAACACACTTGCAAAATCTGTGGTAAAGGCCATTTTAATAATAATAGTAATTTTAAGGTTTTGCTGCTATGCTGATAGTTCCCCACATTTCTATTTTCTTGACATTCAGAAATTGGCTACATCTTTTGATGCCTCATCCTCAGAAACTAATTTGCATCTTTCAAGGAAAACCAGAAATGCTTATTTGCACCCCTGAACTAATGTAAATTGAACCTCACCCGCAAAAACATGAACATAAATCTGAAATATATATTTTACCATTAGATGAGAGAAAGGATAATAAAAGTTTTGACAAATAATTTTTAAAACTAAAAATCTTGTATGTCCAAATGCTATTCTTTCATAGGTTTAGGCAAATGTCCCATCTTACTAATTCAGTGCATCAAAAAGCTTATGTTTATGACCACTTTTGCCTTCATCAGATAATGCTGCTACAAGCTTTTTTGTTAGCTTGCTTGTTTTTTAAGCATTCCATGGAGAAAGTTAAGTACTCCAAACCCTTTAAATAAGATCAAATAATATCTTAATATCAAGGACTTTTGAAAATGAAGTGGAGAAAATCATCTGAGATAAGACTCCTGGATCATGAACTAGGAAAGGAGGATTTTTTTGTGTAGTATCACCAAAAAGCTTCAATCTTGATTCCTTTTTACTGCCTTACTACTAGAGAATAAGCTGTGATCTTTTTTAACTCAGCAGTGTTACGTGAATGGCTAAGACTGTATGTATGGATATGCCAGTCCTAAGCAGAAGATGTCTGAATGAGGCTCTGTTTTAGTTAATGTAGTATGTAAATACCTATACTAGCAAGGTCAGGCACTAGAAACAGTCTATTGGCAGCAACATGGAACTCAGCATGGCCTAATTTACCCTGCCAAGTGCACAGTAAATTCTACACTATTACAGTTTTTGCACTGAGCTCTGTGCAGGCCTTGATAACTATTATTGGTATATGACCTAGTTTGTTTGAAGTCTGCAACGTAGACCCTAAGATTACTAACTGCAAAGAAACGTGTTACTCTTGGTTTCCTAGCAAATGTAATCAGGAAAAAGTCAGTCTAAGTAGCAAAGAAATAAATTAGTACTATGGTGAAGGGTTAGGCAGTATTTAATACTGCCAATATTTAACAAAGGTAACATTTTTAATTAAAAAAAGACATATTTTTCCAAGCGAGTAATAGCCTTACTACGTCTAATAACACCCAAGTGGAGTGGCAAAACCCACATGTTGTGATGCTCTCAGGCTCTAGAACATTGGGTAATAATAAACCCACATTTTCAAAATAAACTATTCAATTTGTTACGCTGAGGCTTCTTGAATGTAAGGAATCATGGAAGTCCTTTTAATGACAGTTTCCAGATATTTAACTACCAAGGTATTATGAGAAGAAATTCTTGCAATTCTTGGTTGAAGCTATATGCCTGGCAACCAGAGAGTATCTGCAAAATGTCCAACTGCAAATAGCATAATGTCAATCCATTTTTTTTTTTGCTGCTACAGTGCATTCCTAAATTTTTCACATTTTGGACACAAAACTTTTGAGACTGATAGAAAACCTGTACAGAAGTACCACACTGGGGCTCTTAGCTTTGGATGTTGAGGGGAATTTTCTGATCATCAGAATGAATGCACATGTATTTACTTGCTTTCAAAGGTCATTATCAGTGTTATTGTGATGAGGGGATCCACTTCCAAAAATTGGGTGAAGCATTTTCCCTTGAAAGAAATCTAGTTCTGTATCTCATAATTCTCTCTAACCCTAGTGTTTTCTCATGTATGAGGTAAAAACTTTGAGCTAATACCCAAGACTGCTTAACCCTTTCTGTAAAGCTTTTAGTGTAGCATGTCACAAAGTTATTCGTGCAAGTGATCTGTGAGCATCATGCCTTAAAATCAAATATGTTATACCACCTTAATTTCATGTTATGTTAGACACAACAACAACATTCCACAGCATTCAAGCTTTTATTTTTTGAGTTTTTCTTAACTTTTTGTAAGAAATGATTCAATTGTGCTTTAAAGAGTCAGTAACCCAGATCCACACTTAGGTGATAGACAGTATTACCATGGATGCATTTAGAGGAGAAACCCTGTTACAGACACAAATGCATCCTAAATTCCAAAGCCCAGCTACTTCCGTCTGGCTCCAGGCTTTATTGACTTGCTTTATAAGTGGCTCCTTAAACACATGCAGTTTGTAAAAGCAAGCTGATTTCTTGGAACCTTAAAATCAACCTCCTAGAGAAAGAGCACTTCATTTGTCTTCACAACAGTCTATTTTCAGTGTAGAAATTATAAATCAATAGTCCAATTTATACATTTGCTCTTGTTTATTTTAAATAACACTTCACTGTAAGTGTGGTGCAGGTCATACTTATTTCCAACTGTGTATGCTATTAGTGGTATACAACCTCCTATTTTAATGCTCTCTTTTTACTAATATTCATAAGTGTGTGAATTAAGACTCAAAAATAATTCTGATTTATATTAGTTTAAAATTAGCAGAAAAATGCTAGAACTCTAGTTTATACTGAGGCTACTACTACTGCAGTAAAACAACGTATGTGCAGGGATAGCGCTTACACGAAATCCAGTTCAAAGTTGAAAAATCCTATTGCTGTTGCTTCTGAAAACAATTCAGAAAGGTTCAGAGCTACTGCCCCTTCACAATTCCTTTTACACTAAAAATACTGCAATGAAATATCCAAGAACTGTCGATGGCTATAGACTTTTGTCTGTGCTTGTGTGTGTGTAAAAACTTACATCATGGCCTCAGTTATAAGACCAAATCGAAGTTCTCTAAAATTTTATTAAAAACATAAAGTTCAATTAATATAATCTGAAAAGCATTTAGTTTACAATCATAAGATCTAGTGTTATCCAGAGATACAAGCTTTCAAATTACAAACTCTCAAATGCATTAGTAGGATTGTGCATCAAATCCCTGCTAATCAGATGAGAATACACACTCCTGAGAGGAGTATACAGTACACATTTCACAAAGCCTAAGAAACCCTGGTGCTGTCCCACTCTGTGCATTTAGAATCAAAATGATACTTTCAGAAAGTCTATCAGGAAAAAGAACCATAACGAAATAAGGAAGTGAACATATGTAAAAAGTAAACAAAAACAAAACAAAAAAGTGAGGGAACGCAGCAGCAGCAGCAGCAGCAGCACACAGCAAAAGTACTCACGCAGAATCTACTGGCCAGAAGTTGATCAGAGTAACAGGACTGCAAGACAAAAAATGAGGAGGTGAAGAGAGAGGCAGAAAAAACTTAGCAGCAAAATAATTACAGAAAGATTAAAAAAAAATCACAACAACTAAAAAACAGAAAATCCAACAGACCAACATGGATGACCATGAAAAGCAGCTAACCAAAAAGGCAGAAAATAAAATTAAAATATCAAATTAAAAATAAAAGGAGAGAGAGAGAGAGATAACAAGCTGTTGTACAATTGCCATTAGATAGCTGGTTAGTATGAACTTGCAATACAGTTAGAGAGAGGTAAAACCACCGATTGATTTCTCCATGAGCATCATTACTGCATATTTTTACAATTACCTCACATCATTTTATGTGAGTTTTATGTGACCACATCTATGGTGTGAGAAAGGAATAAGCTAGACTGAGAAATTTACAGCTTAGCAATTGAGTTAAAAAAAAATACAACACATGATGGATATCCATTTGGAAGAAAATCAAAATTGAATGCTGAGACCACCAGTTTGCAAATTACCAGAACCATTTTAATGTTTTACAAGGTAATCAGTAAGGTAGCAGGTACTTTTCTTTTGTTAATTGAAGTTTAATTTATTATAAGGATAGGGTAAAGGGAATGGCAATTGAAATGCCAGCTTGTGTTTTGCTTTCAGCCAAAGTAAACAAAAACGAAAGAAATGAAAGAGGCTTTATGCATTTAGGAAGTGAAAGGAGTTGGCACCAGCTGGGGAGCTCAAAGAGCGTATCAAATGAGATACTGCTTATTTGCTTTAGAGCTACTCACGTTTCCATGTTGTCTCCCTCCAAGACAGTTTGTACAGGCAGATAGCCCATTCTTGGGTGCTTTGCAAAATAGCGTTTTGTTCGAAATTTGTTTTTCAGTACCTTGGCAAAGTCACGGACGTCTTCTCCTGAAGTTGTCTGAAAGTAACAAATCAGAGTGAAAGCGTCTTTGAGGAGGCAATTATTGCCCTTGATTGTCTCTTCTTTGGCCAGGCCAAAAGGGTGCAGGAGCACACAGAACATGGCCAGCCAGTGATTTGACTGGTGGAACCTCCCCCATTTTATGCTCTTACCACCGCAGATATAAAGCATTTTAAAATGAGATGATTATTTGCCAGAAAAGGTAAAGTACCTATACAACACACCTACACAACAAGAATTTCTAGTCTTTGAGCTCCAAAATCCTGAGATAACAGATTTATTTCTTCTTTCATATTATCAGACAGACAAAGCTGAGCCAACCAATAAAAGAGAAAAAAACCTGTCACTTCTTTTGCCTTGACATGGAGCAGGCAAGTGCTTTGCCTTTGTTCACTTCCATATTAAAATGGCTGAAACTAGGCTATGCAGCAAGTCTATAACTGAACACCTGCCCTCCTGATTAGCCAGTTCTGTGTCCTGAGTCCCAGTGAGCATTTCTTGTTTACCATCTCCTGGGTTAGACAGTCCACAAAAGCTGATAGTAATCTTCTTCTCAATGTTTAAGTTTCCCTTCCCAGCCTTCTCTGCCATCAGTGTTTTGTCCAAACAGGAAAATAAAAAGCAGGAGAAATTCTTGGGTGGGATGTTTCTCCTTTTATTTTCTCAATCTGGAGCTAGCAGGCATTTAGAATAAACACTTTAGGCCTTGCAGGCTTCCCACATTTTCATTCTTTGCCAGAACTCAGCTCCTTCTCTCATCTTTCAACCACGCTAGGAGCACAAAAAGGCATTAGTTTTGTAAGAAAACAAAGATAAGCCAAGCCAAAATTAAATCAAAATGCGTCTTCTGGGAAGTTTTAAGAAGGAGAAATTATCTGTCTTTTCTTCTTACAGTCTGATTAAGATTCAGAAGGTCCTTCTCTGAGGAATTTTAATGGAGAACTTTAATTCTTTTATTCAAGTTCTACTTAAAGCCTTACACCTCACAGAGAAAGTAGGACCAGAAAAATAGCAACCTGATAATATTATTTTTCTTGACTGTCATAAAGATTTTCCTGCCTGGTACATATAGCTTGGAAGAAAGAAATGAAGGAAAAGTAATATGCCTAAAATTTCTAATAAACTATGTGCCTACTATTGAAAGTAGAATTTGTTCTTCCAGTTGAAACACGTACTGCTGCTTTTCTATATCCCTTAGACAGAAAAATGAAGGATGTTCTAGAAAATCCTTTGAAACAAATTTGAAAAGGACAAGTAAGCTTTACATCTTTTTGCATAGGAGAGAGAAGAATTCACACCATCTTTGAAATGTGCCCATAGCCTGGCAGAGCACAGTGATTCTCAAGCAGGGTGCCATGACATCCTGGCTTACCTTGAGACCTTTTGAAGGGCGAAAAACAATGTTAGCACTTTTAGGTCTGAAAACATGATTCACAAGATAAACCAGAAATTTCAAATACAAGTCTGCATTGTTGACCTTTTGTGGTCTTTCTGAGTAATTTGCAATAAATGGAGGGACCAGCGCTGGAGCAAAAGGTGTGAGGAGCAACTGGGGGGAGCAGAGCAGGTAGGGATCTGGGGAGCAGGCACAGGCACAAGGGGTAGGGTTTGGGGTGGGGGAAGCTTCATGTTCCCCCTCCAATCCATGGTCTCCCTTACACTTTCCCCTGCCATGTGCCTTTCCTCTGACAAATGAGCCATTTGGCCCTGGCAGCTCAGCTCTGGCTTGAGCCTTGAGACCAGAGTGCCTGCTTGGTACAGTTCTTCACTTCTTTGGGTCATTTTTCACTTAGATATAAAAGAGTTCCTAAACTTCCCATGGCACAGACATTTTTCCCAGGTAATCCGCTTCAAATTCAGTTTCTGCCTGGTACAGCTATGCACAGTACATTGGTATGAAGACAACAGAAATCAGGGTAAAATTGACTGCCTGTAAAGTAGTTTAAAGAGCTATGCGCAGTAGTTGGGATGCAGTTTCAGCTTTCTGTTAAAATTAGCCTGCTACTTATTTGCATTTTCTGTATTCCTAGGGAAAAAAAAAATCTATTGGACCCTGTAGTAGATTCCAATAAGAAACCACTGAGAATCACTCACACACATTCATATCAATTCTTTTTCTATAATCATTTTGGAGAGAGACAAGACCATTAGTTACAGGTCCATCACCAAAACCAACCACACAGGCAAGAAAGCAGTAGCGCAGGTGTTATTCTGCACATAGTTTTCTCCCCTGAACTTCTCACTCCATTTACTTGGAGAATAAAAAGTGGCTAGAAGAAACAGTAACCAATCCAGCAAAATTGTTTTTCAGCTACAGTTGAGAGGAATGTTATAATGTGGTCTATGACTCTAAAGATTGCAATTTGCTCCAGCAATGCCTCTGACAAAATAGTCTGCTTAGACTTGTCTCTGCTGTTCTAAACTTTTCCTCTCACATGTGCCACTGTACAACAAATCATCATTTCTGCTCATCTCAGTCAATGAAGAAAGAGCAGCCAATGAAGAAAGGATAAGCCAATGGAGACTTTTAATGAGAAACTGGCAGAGGCAAATGGATTGCGTTTACAGAGATTCAGACTAGACAATGCCAGAAACTTGCTATAATTTAAAAATAAAAACAGACAGAAACTTGGTTACTGCTTTATCTGAATATCTTAGGGGTAGTAGATATTTTCCTTTCTTTGGGCATCTTTACATGTGTTCCAGGGTGGGAGCGTTTTAATTAGAGCAGCTCTTGAGAACCACCCTAATTAAAATGCCTGCAGTGTCTTGTGTATTCAGCATCCCGTGCTTCAAAATGGTGGTGGGGGTGCTTTAACTAAAGCTTTAGTTAAGGCGCCCCTGCCACCATTTTGAAATGCAGGGACATAGAATACATGTGATGCCAAAGCTGCAGGAGCGCTCTAATAAGAACGCTCCAACAGACACGATTAATCGAGTCTGCTGCGATGAATCAGAACAGGAGTCAGGAACTTGTATAGGTGCCCTTTAAGTCCATGTTCACCGAGACAAGCTAATAACTTTCTCTACATTGGCCATGTCCCTTAGTCTGAATAGAAATTAAGAGACAGTTCACACACTTCTGGTTCCTAGCCTGATTAGATTGTTATTAGAATGGTTTATTTTAAGCATTTACATTTGACCACAGATGAATTTAAGATCTTGGAACCACTTAGCACACCTGAAGGTCATCTTGTGGCTTGCACAGAGAAGCCTGGTGGTTGCTGTAAAGTCGGCTTAACACTCAGTACAGAGGCAGCCCTTCTGCATCATGCAGGAGCAGTTTGAGGGTTACTCTAATTTATACACAGCTGCAATGCCTCCAAGCACTGAGATTAGGTGTGGTACAAAAGGTTAACTTCCTACTCCTTTTCCCTGACACATGAGAAGCAAATAAGATCTGCTTTATCAAATATACACCATTGGAGAACTACCCTTATATGAAGTGATCCTCTGCGGGGCAATTAAATGGGGTTTTGTATTATATCAGTGATTCAAGACAACACATACAAACCACACTGAGGAAACTGATTTCTGGCTTCCAGAGATGAAAATCCACTTCACTTTTCTTAAGCTTGTCCTAGATCTTTTCATATCATTATTTCATTTTATAATAAAAAATTATCACTTGTGCTTAGAAGAATTTTGCTGCAGGAGGGAGAGAACTGACAAAACCAGTAAACCCTCCATATGCCAAAAGAGCTATCATATTAAACAGATTCTACTGGTGTCTTCTCTATAATACAGAGTTTATAATGCAATCAAAGTATACTTGGGAAAAAAAAAGAAGAGAATCTGAACTTGCTAGGGGAAAAAAGCTCACATTGATATATAGCAAGTTAAGCTTTTTTTCTCATCGTAAGATGCAAATAGATTTTGCAAAAATCCTAGGCTTACTGTAGAATACATAAAATCAATTATTTAACACTCAACATAGAACAACTCATTAGCATATAATAAACTATTTTGATACAGTGCTGTACAAACAATGAAAGGCAGTAAGCCTTAAATTCCAATTACTTAAAACCATCACTGTTATTCCTCACTGTAAACTGCAAAATGTGAGGCTCTAAAGATGACGGTGTATAAAAGGTGACTTAATTACAGAAAAAACACCCTACATAAATGCTCCATTAGCTTCCACACAGCAATTCAAGCTTTTCCTTTCTACATAATAATCATAAGTACGGGTCATCAAGGCAGCTACTTACTGGTGTGCAGTACTCCACCATTGGATAGTGCATTTTATGACCTTTTGCAACTCGGCCAGAAAAGAAGCAGCTTTGGCAGATGTCATAGTTAAAGTGCTTTAAACTTCTGTACCTGGTGGAGGGGAATAAACATAGCTTTAGTTTCATGGGTGAATTTTCTTTTAGTCTGTAAAGGTATTTCCTATGTTAATAACACCTTTTCCCTGATAGTGCCTTTGCTGTACACAATGCACAATGCAGTGAACACAATACAATACTCATTTAGCCATAGAGGCCTAAACACTGGCACTGGTGAGCAATCTGAAAGAAGGCAATTATGAATTGGTTTGCATGTGAGCAAAAACTATTGTTAACAATTTCCAGTAACAAAATGACAATACTAGGAAAGCTCATGTGGCAAGAGAGAACAGAATCAATGTATTTTATAACATGCAAAAAGACATCCACACATATTTTATTAAATGGCATTGATTTAAACTCTTTTTATTCCCCTCACGTGGCCTGCCATCGTACCTGCAGATCAAATAAATTCTTCCAAAAACACACCTCTCCACGCTTATTCTCTGTGAGCTCTATTGTCCTTCTACCCTCAAGTAACAATTTGTCACAGTTTTTTGTAGCATATTCAGCAAAATAATTTGCATGTGTGGACAGTTGTCTGTTCAAAGATTGGATCTGAATGCACATTTGCAAATGCTCATTAAGCCTCAACAGCTTCAGAAAATAGGTAACTATTTGATCTGTTATGTTGCACAATGGAGCCAGAAGCACAGGGGCTGTGTTGTTGCAACAGAGGTTCATTAACAATAACCTAAAGCAATAAAATAAGTTGCCTTTTCAGCACAGTGACACTTAGGGAATTAAATCTTCAGATGTCTTTCAACTTAGCACCTGTCTTAAAGATGTGTAAACTGAGGTACAGAGAGGCTAAGATCTGGACCCAGAACCCCTAACTGTCTGAGAATCTACACCCTCCTAAAAGCTTGTCTTTGAGATTCACCAGTTAGGTGCCCCTGACCCTAAGGACCTCTGACTGTGAGCATGCTGAACTGCTGACTGTAAAACAGCTCCTATACTCTGGCAGCAATGAGTTCAGCACAAAACTCAGCAGCAAGGGCTACTTTCACTCCAAAATATGGGGGGTGGTGAATAGGGGTGAAACCTACATTTTATATAAGAGTTAAGTGTTTAGAGAACTCACCCAGGAAATGGAAGACCTGGCTTCAATGCTCTCCTCAGCTTGAAGGGGTTGAAAAACCACACCTCTCACCTTCCATGAGAAAGCCCTAATGCCCTGGCTCTCCACCCTTCCTGTTAAAGCTATGCCATTGTGGAGCCAAGGACTGGAGATCAGATTCTACTTTGCCTGATGGGTGCATATGTGTGTACACAGTATAATTCTCTTCCACCCTATTCAGGTTCCTGAAAGTCCTATCTAACACTGTCAGTAGTGTGACTGTGGTGGGGGAGGGGGGGGGGGGGGGAGGGGGGGCAGTGGCAGCTGGCTGCGCCACCTGCATTAGCACTGCAGCAGCTGGCACTGCCCCATGTGCAGCTGCTGCCCAGGGTGTGATGCTGCCCTGCTATGCCTCAGCACATTGCCATCTTACCCTTAGCCCTACGTGACTTTCAGCATTAGACAGATATATGTAACTGAACAACCTGTTACAGTAAGAGATGCTCTTTCTGCACTTAAGAGGTAGATTAGGTAGGTGAAATCAAACTGGATGCAGTCATGTAGCCAGATCGCCTGGCTCCCATTTGACTGTCACCCCACGCTCACAATAACAGCTGAATTTTCCAGTTCCTTTTTCTTTCATTTGAACATTTGAGGGAACCACTTACAGAAACAGATACTTCTTATATTACATCTAGTGGGAAAGTATGGGTGACTCCGTAAAGGTACTGCTATAGTCACATCTTGTCCCTTCTCCTCCCTCAACCGTGGTTGCCATCTCTAAGTTGAGATACATGAGAGGAGTAAAGAGCACAAGGGGAACATCCAGACAAGTGCACACGTGGTATGCGGTGCTGCAGACATGTCTGCAGTGCTGTACACCACACACGCCACCCACACAGAAGTTCCCCACACGGCTAATTTGCAGCATTAGGGGGAAGAGAGTGGGGACTGATGTTGGGAGATCCCGGTGTCCAAAAACCCCTGTCTAAAAAAAGCAGGGCAGTTCACATGGCAGCAGTGTGCGCAGCCCAAAAGCAGAGCCCGGCGGGTGGCGACATTGCTCTGGCTGCCGGCCAGGCTTCCTGCTGCCAAATTGCTGTGGCTGCAGTCCCTGAGGGCCCCAAGGTAAGGCTGCTGGATCCAGGCCAGGTGCTGGCCCCAGCCTCCCCTACCCCACCCAGGGCAAAATGCCATGCGCCAGTGAGCGAGTGCACGGGCGTTCCCATATTGTGCCACTGCTGTTTGTCCCTGTGGAAAAGTACGTTCCTATTTGTAGATGGCGGTGTGCCCATGAAGTTCAATTTAGATAAGCAAAAGAATGTATACAGTGAAGAAAATCCAGTGACTTTTGTAATTTTAAAAGGCCGTGCCTTATTTATTCTCCTCCTTCAACCAAGACAAGGAAACTAGACATTTAAAGCATTCTCTCACTGCATCTCCAGCATCAAGAGTGTCTTCTATTGTAGAATAAAATGATAGCTTCTCTATGCAACTGCTGTCTGCCCAGTGTTGTCTATTTGGGCTTTAGAAGCAGCATTATAAAAAGCTCTTTGTAAACAGCATGATACACACAAGGCAAAATACCAATGGTAAAAGGAGATCATGTATAAAAGGGACACAAACCATACAAAGCATCTATTAGGGAACAAAGTGATAAAACAAGTCTATGTATAATTGAAAGCGAGTATTTACTTAGCCGTTAAGTGGATTCTGAACAGGCATTCCAATACACAGCCATTTTACAACACAGTAGCTTATTCATTGCCATGGTAACCATGGTGCTGATCCAGATGTTTAAACACATCAGAAATATTTCAGAATCAAGGACTTGAGATGATTGTTAAAGAAGAGGTGTTTATAGAAGATAGTCTGAGTAGTTTCAATCCAAAAAAATGATCACAATACAATGGCTTTTCAGGTTAATATTCCACTAATATAGTGCACTCGCTTTCTGAAAAATATCTATAGTAGTCTTAGATTTTTGTGTCTGTAAATTTTCCATTCATTTGCATGTTTCATACAATCCCAGAAAGCCATTCATTAGGATCCAATCCAGAAAGCATAATAATGTTTGCAGAACAGACAGAATATAAAGTAAATTTTGTAGTTACTGGTACAATCTGCCAGTAGTTTGGTCAGGGAGAAACAGGATCAAGGAACAAAACTGTGTATTTGAATTAAGAAATGGTTCTCTCTCTCCATTTCAGCTTCCACTTCCTATACTACTGTGCCCATACTGCTCCATATAGGACACCGGTAAGTTTTAGTTTCGATTTTTTTCACCTCCTAAACTATTGGAATAAAAATAAAAACTTGACCCCCTGGGCAGAACAAACAGATCTTGGTACACCAAGCAGAAGCAAAGCTAGTAGGAGAGGGCTGTCATTATTTTACCTGAATCCAATAATTGGACACTCCTTACAGATGTTACACTTAGCTTGATGTTTGGCAGTTTCAGCAGCAGCCACCCTGTGCAACACTGGCAGCCAGACCATGGACTGTGGTTCCAACCTCATCCAATCCAAAAACAAGGCTGCTTCAATTTCTGGCTTGTTATTCGCCTGTGAGAGAGGGTGAATACAGACAAGGATTGAGGGGAAGAAAACCCACCAAGTTTCCTGACAGTTAAGTACTCAACTCCTAGCTTTATCATCCTTTCCTCTTTAACCCTGCTCAAACTCCTATGTCCCAATCCCTAAAACGTGCTCCTGACTTTTTACATCTCCTGTCTTTATTAATTCAATCTATTCTTCTCTTCATCCTCCCTGATACTCCTACTGCCTATTCCTAAACAATCCCCAATGCCATTAAAATGCCCTTTGCTATCAGTTGCTGGACAGGCAATCTTCCCTCATTTCCTTAACTTCCTCTGTAAACTTTCCTTTCTCCACTCCTTGCCCCACAACCTTCATCCTAGGCTATATCTTGAGTTTAATCCTTTATCACATTTTCTCCCACCCTTTCTACTTAGCCAGTGACAGCAACTTTGATGTCCCACTAGTCCCCTGCTTGCAGTCCTGCACACAATTCCTTACCCATTTTTGTAGCACCTAGCAGTCCTAGCTATGAACCAAGGCCTCACTGTGCTACATGCTGTACAAACATAGAACAAAAAGACTGTCCCTACCTCAGAGAGCCTGCTCTCTCAGACAAGAAACAAGAGAGGTGAACACGAACAGAAAAGAGTGTACAAGGAGACAATACTGATCAGCATGACATGTGGCACATGGGCCATCTAACTGTCATGAATTGTGCAGGCATCATAGCAAAATGGAGTTTTAGAAAGGGATTTGAATGAGGATAATGAGGTAGCTTTGTGGGTGTTTATGGGGAGTTTCTCCCAAACACTGAGATTTTCAAATAAGCAATTGCTATCAAGTGGCTGATGGAAGCTGGCATTATGGGTTGATCTGAGGTGGAAATTCATTTTTCACAACTGTATTAGACATGATAAAATGCTGCCAAAAGGTGAAGGGCTCTGAAAAGAAAGTAAGCTGATTTCTGATGTAAAGGAGAGGATGAAGTCAGTGGAAGGAGGCAGAAAGGTGGGTACGTATTCAAAGTGATGAATTGGCATATATTATCCACCCCAGGTTCCCAAACTATCAACATGTTTTCATTCAAATTTCTCCTTCAAAGTCACCCATCAGAAATGCATTAATAACGCTTTTTTTAAATATCCAAGCCCAAGCCCTAGTTACTTCATTTCTCTGGGCTTTCTAGGACATCCTGTTCTCTCACCCTCTGCTTTTTATATTTTAAATCTCAGAGGGAAAGAATAGTTTTAATTTTGTGTCACTATACCATTCTACATATTTAAATATATGTAGAAATATATTTACCTGACTAAATAATAATCAGCATTAACTTTTTGTGCTGTCATGTGATGCATGAAATGTATGGGCTAAAATGCATAGTTGACAGAAACTGCTAGTGGTTTTATCCATGCTTCTAATGATCTTTAGCAGCACCCAGGTAACAATGGTCAGATACCAAGTTTCTGAAAAGTTTGGTAACAAAATTATGACCTGGATTGACAATACAGAGATACAGTTCAGTTAGAGTGAGTGAGTGAGTGTGTGCATATGCATGTGTGTGGTGGGGGGGATCACCTACGTTTTTTTTAACACTGGGTACTAGAAGTACACCAATACATCGATCCCATATTGGACTGACATCAATATAGGGAAAATTGACAGTATCAGAAATTGACTTTTTTTGCCTGATGTGGCCAATAACGTGGCTGATAAATGCCTCATACATGTGCACAGCTGCAGTATGCACAGGGCTAGGAGTGCAGCCTGGCGGCTTGGAGACCAGCACTGGGCTGGTAAGTCTGTTACGGGGGAAAGGGTGGGGGGAGGGAAGGGGGCAGATCAAGGCCCCCTGTGGTGAGGGAGGGAGTGAGGCAGGGGCAGGTGCTGCTTCCCTGGGGTGGGGTGTGGGATGGAGCCGCAGTTCATCTGGGGGACACGCGGGGGGACTCCCACCCTGCACGCACCCTAGGAGGGCATGGAGGGGCATGTGACCCCGGATCTGCACATGGGGCAGGGTGAGCTGCAGGCTGGAGCTGTTCCAGGCTGCACTTGGGGCAGGTGGCGGCTGTGGGAAATTTTTGGGTGGTTGCAGCCCCACCTCCTGTGCCCCCCCTCCCAGCATTGATGCTGCCTGCTCCGAGTGCAGCTCGGCCCAGGCCCCCACTGGGAAGAGCCCAGCGCAGTTCCGGCCCCAGCCTGCAGTGGCAGCCCACCTTGCCCCATGCGCAGATCCAGAGGCACACGCTCCCCCATGCCCACCTGCGGTGCACACAGGGTGGGAGCCGCACTCTCCTCCTCCGCACCCCCAGATGAGCCACAGCTCCGTCCCGCCTCACCTGATCAAAATAGAAGGGAGGTTGGGTGACTTTCCCTAAGACTGCACAGTGAATCAGGCACCTGTCAGAACTGAACTGGTAAGTCATGACTTTAAATTAGGGCTGTCAAAATTCTGAGTGGCTGAGGGCCTCCTGCCACACACTTAAGCCACACACCCCTGGGGCATATGCCATGCAGATTGCACATTGCTTCATGCAAGCCCCCCACCCCCGCTGTGTTGCATGGTCTCCACCCCACACAGATGTGCTGGGCATCTTGTGCACATGAATGTGCCGAGCCATAGAAATGCTGCAATGCACACTGTAGACAGAATAAAACTCAGCGACTCAAATCATTAGCCTGTCCTTTGTAGGTGCTTTACATTTGTAGAGGAAAAGTGGCTCTGATGAAAGACCTCCTGTAACATTCAAAGATGTATTTTAATTTTGCAGTTGCTGTTGATTGCTAATGGCCCTAAAAGAGAACTATCCAACCATCCTCACACCTTGTACGAAACCTGTTTGGGGAGATTAGCAGCATTAAAATGTATCGAAACTAGTTCCAAATTACGTTACATGAAGATTTAAAGCCACATGGAGAAAAGCTGGGCAGGGTCAGACAGTATAGGACAGACAGTTTTTCACTGTTCCCTGAGCTGCTATTACAATTTCTTTAATAACCTCTAAATCCAGTAAAGGCAGCAGCAGAGGATTTTACATAAGGGAGAAAGTCTGCACTGACAGAACATATCTGAAGTAACAAGAGGAAGCTGTAAAGAATATTAATGATTCTTTTCTTCAACACATTTCTGTGGAACTCCCAATTTTTATGGTAATAACAGAGTGAATCATAAAGCAAAATTCATAAAGCCTTTCCCAGCTTACAAATAACAATTTGTTATGGGGGATATTCAAATTCATTATACTCCAGACATCTGTTTTTCAGCATTTATTTGCCAAAAAACAGTTGGGGAGGAGAGAGAAGGGTATTTTTTTTCTTTTTTAGAAATCTTTGTGCAATGCTTAGAAACTTTTTTTCTTTCGAACTCTAACTAACATTTTGCTCATTTTGGCTCCTTAAATATGTGTATGGTATCAAACTGGAAATAGATCCACTTTATCTGTCTGCAACAAAGGTACTACACAATACTGCCTTTGTTCACATAAAACATGGAATGATGTCTGACAGAACAAGACTACACTTTTTAGTAACGTAACACCACCAACAACATCCTCTATGCTGGATCTTGTATTAAGCTCTGACAGTAACTAATTCCCGTTTTCAGGTAAATAAACTGAGGCACACAATTCACATGATTTCCTTAGTTACAGACTTGGTGTTTCCCAGTCTTTAGTCCCCTATGTCAGCTAAAGGACAAGCATGGCTTTTTCCTTTACCTATGAAGGCTATTTACCTATGAAGACCTATTTACCTATGAAGGCTATTTACCTATGAAGACCTATTTACTAATATACCTTGCTTTCCCCACAACTGGCTGTGTTATGAAAAATGAAAAGAAGAATCAGTGTTTTATAGTTTCAAAGGCAACTGCTATTTCACCGTCAACCAAAAAAAGAAAATAGAAATGGTAACATGAGGTAAATCCTGCTCTACAGACTACTGAAGTTTCCTCTGACTCTTCAAATGTGTGTTCAAGATGACAGCTATGATATCTTGTGCTATCTATGTCCTTGCCAGTGTTGGTGCCATGTGAAATGTAACTATAGTAAAATATTCCAAGTGACAATCTTAATTGGCAGGACTTGCACATTACATTAGACATTAACAGGAAAACCAAGTCCTCTTTCCCCACTTTACTTTGCTCACTTTCACAGACCTCCATAAAGAAGCTCAGTTTTAGGTCTGCTGAAGTTTGCTTCTGAAACCCAGTCATATTCACTTTTACTTCCATACAAAGAGGCCTGCAAACCCCTACTGAAATAACATTGAAGTGCTGTTTTTATGACATTTACAGCACAGTAGTTTGAAGGAGGATTTGTTAGTTCCCGTAGGCCAAGATGTGTCAGAGAGAGAAACAGAAGAAATACCCTGTAAATAGAAACTAGGGCTCTCTGGGTCTCTCAGCTGCACAGAGAAGCTGTGCCTATTGACAATTCAGTGATTGCTATATGTTTCCAGTTACTTGTATTGGCCATAATTCTTCCTTTACTTCTTTGTCCTGCAATAGGGGCCTCAGGACCAGGGGGTACCTGCGATACTTGTACAAACACAAACATAAATGCCCACAGGCCCTCAAAGAGCTTACAAGCCTTTATTCTGGCTTTTCCAGCTTTCATTTATGAGAGTACACAATTTAGGACTGGGCACACAGTTAAGCCATTGTAAAAGTAATGTGATTAGTTGATGATGTTGGTATCGTGCTGATCTAGTACACATATATTCATAACAAATGTAGACTGCACAGAATTACAGTACTTCTCTCTGTAGGTGTATGACTGAAATTAGATGTCCGCAACGTAGGTATAATCTAACTGCACACACTCTCCTACTCACCCTCCTTGTTTCGTGTGGACAGTATTTCACATAAAAATTGCTGCCTAAAGCACAATTTCAACAGGGGAAAGATGGCTTTAAAATATTTACAGCATAAATAATCAAATATTCTACACATTCTTCAAATATGCTTGGAAACAGTAAGCTATATTTTGATCCATTAACTTACTTACTTGCAGAACAAAATTCTAAGT